GGAACGGAGATGTGTGCGTGTGAAATACCAACTGATTATGCATTTTGTGTGGTCAACAAAAAACCCCCGGACATTTTGCACGTGACATCGGCATTATCGACCAATCAGGTGCGACTCTAGGCGTACTTGGCCACAACTGTGCTATTTGGCACGACGAAGGTGCTCAACATGGAAAACTATTGTGAGCAGGGTGCGCAAAACGATGTCCGATGATAAAACGAGGAGTGCTTTTGCCGCAGAAATACACGAAACCTTATAGACATTTAAGATTGAACCTATTGAAGGAGATTTTATATTTTGAAAAACATATTTTGGCGTTTTACATATGCGGTGTGCGTAAAACTACTGTTAATATAATCGCTAAGGTTGACCACCAATTATAGCATATCATAAATTTAAATCGACTGATCGTTACACAAATAAGCCTACTCCAGAAGATGGTTACCCTTAAAGTGTAAATATCGACCTAGGTTAAAAGCAAGGAATTTAACCATGTGGTGTATTTAACTTTTGTCCTAAAATGTTTGGCTGCTGGTATAGTCAAAATGTTGAATTAGGCAAACCAGTATTTCCTCAGGACTCCGCTATCAGTTCGCTGAACAGAGGCATGCTAGTAGGAAGGAATTATTACTTTGACTGAAATTCAGACATTCTCACTTTAGAGGTTAGTTAAAGAATGGCCCTCTATAAAAATAATTGTTGTGCTATCATAAAAATAATCTTTTTCAGGCCGGCAGTGTATTAGCGAATTTGGTTTGTTAATTCACTTAAAAAGAAATATTTTCCATCAGTTACCAAAAAAGACAGTTGACAGTTCCCAAACAATAGAAAACTAACTGCCTCGCGGGCTTACACTACTACTCTTAAAATAACGTTGTCAGCGTAAAAGAATCATTTCCATTCCATCCCCTCCCCGACATCACTTTCTCAAAACTTTGGACGATGTGGGCAGGCTGCCATGGTAGCTGTACTTTCAAGGCATAATAAGCCCCTTCCCAATAAAAATAATTGGCGTTCTATATGTGCGGTGTGTGTAACGCTAATATTAAGGTAATCGTTAATGGTGGCCATCAAATAGAACATATCAGAAATTGAAATCGACTGATCGCTACACAAAAATGCCTATTTCAGAAGGCGGTGACCCTTAAGGTTTAAATTTCGACCGAGGTTTAAAGCAAGGGATTTAACCATGTAGTGTACTGTTTTCGGCACTTGTGGAGAAATGATAATTGCTCTCGCGTTAAACATTCGCAAATAGTACATTTTTTCCA